CACTACTGACAATGGCTTATATTTGTATGCTTTGTCGTTTTTTGAGTGCCAGTCACTATTTCATTAGAACCTCACAATTAGTCTGTGAAATAAAAAGGGACAAAGAGGCCATGAAAGCCCTGAAGGTTCAAGAATTTGTTCAGAATCATGCAGCAAATTAGTTTCAGGGTTAGGTTTGCCAACCTGCTTTACCACCTGCCCTTCCAGATAGATTGTATTATCAGTAGCTAACTCAATCAAGTAGATTAATACTGTGGTCATAGCTAACATTTTAAAATAATACTTTATATGTTTCTTCTATATTCATTATTTAATTTCATCTTTACAACAACCTTTTGAGATTGATGGAATTATAACCATTCCCACTGAAATATAAAGACTTGGGGGTTCAGCAATATTATGTGACTTTGGTCTTGGTTGTGGAAGATTCGAGCTTGAATCCATGCCCTTTGATTCCTGCTCACTTCCTTATCCACGACTCCATGCTGCTCAAATGCCACTCCAAAGCAGAAATTTATATTTACCTTTATAATAATGTATGTTTACTTCTTTGTAGAAAAGCATCTTTTCTATATCTTTCTTACAGAGACAAAATTAGTTTACATTTCCTGAACCAGAATCCCTGAGAGGTGACCAAGAAAACAGAAGGGATCATCCAAATATAGATAACTCTGAACTTTAACACACATTCCTTAAGATATATGTGATTCTAAATCACAGCAATGGCCCAAAAGCAGAAAGACTTTTCTATTTGATTTTTATTTGCTCAGTTTTACTGATTTATTTAAGATTTTGTTTACCTCTCTCGGCAGCTAACTTTTATATTTTTACCCTATAAAAGCATAATCCTAGTATGTGTCCAGAAAATTGTGAAAGGCTTGTAGAGATCTGATACAATGCAAATGATTCTCATCCGTGGAAATGCAAATTATTTGCAGCAGAATGCAAGCGATTAGTGCCCTGTGGATACTGACCAGTTCTGCTTCCATTTGTAAATTCATCTCAACAGTCCCCTGAATTCTTCTCTGAACTGGTTACAACACGTTGCTGGTTCTCTCATTGATTCATAAGTTAAACAAAATCTTTAACATGTGTTTAGTTTATATGTGTATCACACCATGATTTTACCTTTAAATTGGGAGGTGAGTAAAGTGCTCAAAGCTCAAGAGCAAAGCGTGAGTGGAACCAGCACACCCTCCTGCCTTCCTGGGCCCCTCAGGGCTGGGACACTGCTGGCCCTTCTTTATTAATGACCTGGATTTTGAAAGAACTGTATAGCTCTGTCCAACCCCAAAGTCTAAATAAGACATTGGTCTTCCAGAACATCCTAGCCTTATACCTTATTTGGGAATATCTGATAATATTGGGAATAAGTATTATTTGGGTCCTTGGAACCATATGGTAGGCAAGCTTTGGGCCTTTTCAGAGCAAGTAGACCACACTGAGTATTATTTAAATACTTTAGGTTTCTTCTGTGACCATTTCACTGACCTTGAAACTAATCCATTCATATTCTGTGCAGCACCATTCCAGCGTGAGGGGCTGATTAAGAACAGGTTTCCCTGCTGGCATCCTTCATTTACACCAATTACTGCTGGTTATGGTTGGAAACAAGAATGTAAAACAAATTCTATGTCCTGAATGTAGGCAAGATTAGCATAAACTTTTTATGGATGAGCACAAGTCTCTCAAGGATGTGAATATTGTAATAGAATTTGTAAATTTGTAATTAATGTTACAAATAACTCTAACTTTATTCTGTAAATTCTTAGGCATAATATTTTTTATTTATTCCTGAGACTGAAGACTAAAGTTCAAACTTTCCTACTTTTCATATGAAGCTCCCTAGAATCCATAGAGCCAGGATCACTCGTCAATGAATGGGAAATACGATTCTACCCCAATACATTTTGTGGTGTTGAGAAATCACTAATATTTTCATGTTCCGCACAGTCAAGGTTTCTTGAACAAAAATTTCTGACAAATTGGGTTAAGGGATGGCTGACCAGTAGTGACCATGCCTTGGAAGTTAGGAATAGTGAATTCCTCCTGAGAAATGTACAGGTTTATCTCCCCCTGGAGGCACTTATTTATATTTCAAAATGTAATAAAATTCTGAGCCACACATTTATATTCCAAAGAGTGGTAACACCTAGAAACCTGATTTTCTATTCAATAGAGGGTTTGTTCACATTAAAAAGATTAAGTTTTTCTCGCCTTACTGGAGTAGCTCTGTGGTTGACCATTAACCTACAAACCAGGAGTTCATGGTCTGATTCCCAGTCAGGGCACATGCCCTGGTTGCGGGCTCCATCCCCAGTTGGGGAGCTGCAGGGGGCAGCCGATCAATGATTCTCTCTCATCATTGATGTTTCTATCTCTCTCCCCCTCTCCCTTCCTTTCTGAAATCAATAAAAATCTTTAAAAAATAAAAGATAAAGTTTCTCTCCCTCTTTCAGTACCTTTAACCCTATATCTTTAAGCTTCAGTTTCATCATTTCAGCGATCCTCTTCTAGACTATGGACCCTGCACACACAGGGTGACATCCGCCCCATCACACCGCCGGAAGGAGAACTGGGGCATGGCAAACCCACACTAAGATATTCTGTAAGCAGCTCATCAGCCTGCCTTTGATCCAGAAGCCTCATGCTTGCTGTCAGGAGAAAATAAATCAACAGGGATATTCAAAATTAATCAAATAGAATGTTACAGAGAATTTCATTTACAGTTTTTTGCAAAGTGAGAACTGTTTTAGTTCACTTGAAATATGCTTTCATTTGCATTTTTGTTTACCTATGCTCAGCTTTTTATATAAAGCTGAGTTATCTGTAAAATGGTGATAAAAATGCTTCCCTACTCTCTCAAAATTTGGACATTATTTCCACATGAAAAGAATTCTAATTCTTAAGATTTACTCTATCTTCCATGATAACTTGAAACAACTCACGAATCAGGATGCAAGTTGAGAAAGGAGTAATTCAATGAAAAGAATCAGAGAAATAAGGCCTGTTCGTTGCCCCGCATCTCTTGCACTCATTATCTCACTCTAGGTTACCAGACATAAAACCCCACCGTCTACCTCCACTTCCTCTATTTTCTCAACTTCCTGTCTTAAACTAGCCTGGGCTCAGTTTTACCCTGCCCTGAAGGCTGAGCTTTGTATATGAGACTCTTGAGATCATCAAAACACTTTCCAATCTAAAAGTGTTAGTTCTATGTCAGCCAGGAAGAGAGACATGAATAAACTTAGATTGAGAGCCATGAGGGAAAAACGAACAAACAAGAAACTGAGACACTATAAATTCCCTTGGATCACACTGCCCTTGGGGAGAGCTGCTTGCCTATAAGGTTCTCTCTTTTCATAATAACTACCCACCCTATAGGGCAGCAATCTTGGGCAAGTCCAACCAACCTCCTGTTTTCACCACCTTTCATGCCGTGCCGCCTGTCTGCTGAACAGTGTTGCAGGGCTCTCTGTCCCTCACCCTTCTCATTACCCTCCTTTTCCAAGTGAAAAGTACAACAGTAATTGACACTTAAAAGTCCATTTACAAGGCACTTCCACTTCTCTCCTGCACCCAACCTTTTGGTGTTTGGTAGGACAGGGATCATCAACCTCATTTTTCAGAAAGGGAACAGGCTGAAGAAAGTCATCCATGTCCTCCCACTGCAGTTGAATAGCCTTGTGTAACTGACAACCTCTTTGACACTCAGTTTTCGCATCAGTGAAAGAAGCTGTTGACTGGGTGCGCTCATAGACCACTCTAGTTCTAAGAATCTGTGATTGTAACTAAGAGTCTAAGATTCTCAACTCCTAAACCCAAGGGTCAACTAAAGAAGCCATATTTCCATATGAACGGTGCCTTCTGGAGACAATTCCCCCACCTTTGTAGGAATCTGTTAGTCATCTGCTAGATGGAAATTTTAGGCCAGGTGGAAAGCTGCCTGGTTAGTGGGAAAGAAACAATGGTTTTAAAATTTATTGAGTGTTATCATGTGCAGACACTCTGCCAAACAACATAATACCCGTGTTAGTCTCTTAAACCCTTCAGGATACAGGTGCCTCAATACACTGTTCCTTAACTTTGCGTTCAGTAAAAAATAACTTTTTCTTTTGGTGTGCAATTCTATAAAGAGATGAGGTTTAGGTTGACTTTTTAAGTCTTTTGCATATTGATGAAAAGATTATGGTTACTCCACTGAATTGCCTTTGCATTATCAAAAATGAGTTGGTCACATTTGTGTCAATTTATTCTGCTCATTATTCTAAATGTTTACCTTTATACCAATACCACACTGTCTTGGTAACTGTAGCTTTATATTAAGTCTCAAAATCAAGTACTTAAGTCTTTTTTAAAAAATAAATTTATTTATTGTCTAAAGTTTTACATATGTCTCCTTTTTCCCCAATTGACACCCCCCTTCCTCAGCCATTCCCACCCGGGGCAAGCCCCACCGCCCCAGTGTCTGTGTCCATTGGTTATGCTAATATGCATGCATACAAGTCCTTTGGTTTCTCTAACCCCCCACCTCCCCTGCCATTTGTCTCTGGATCTATTCTTGTTCATCAAATTATGTTGATCATTATATCCCACATATGAGTGAGATCAAGTGATATTTATCTTTCTCTAACTGGCTTATTTCGCTTAGCATAATGCTCTCCAGTTCCATCTATGCTGTTGCAAATGGTAAAAGTTCCTTCTTTTTTATAGCGGCGTAGTATTCCATTGTATAGATGTACTACAGTTTTTTAATCCACTCATCTGCTGATAGGCACTTAGGTTGTCTCCAAATCTTAGCTATGGTAAGTTGTGCTGCTATGAACATAGGGGTGCATGTATCCTTTCTGATTGGGTTTCTGGTTTCTTGGGATATAGTCCTGAAAGTGGGATTACTGGGTCAAATGGGAGTCCCGTTTTTAACTTTTTGAGGAAACTCCATACTGTTCACAGTGGCTGCACTAGTCTGCATTCCCACCAGCAGTGCATGAGGGTTCCTTAAAAATATGAAATGCTTTATGAATTTTCATGTCATCCTTGCACAGGGGCCTTGCCAATCTTCTCTGTATCATTCCAAATTTAGTATATGTGCTGCCGAAGCGAGCACAATCACTTAAGTCCTTCAAGATTGTTTGGCCATTCTACATATTTTGCATTTCCATGTATATTTGAGAGCCAATTTATCAATTTCTATAAAAAAAAAAAACTCCTCAGATTTTGATTGGAATTTCATTAACTCTCTGGATCAATTTTCGAATAATGACATCTCACCAATATGAATTTTTTAACTTATAAGCATAGTTTATCTCTCTATCTGTTTAGCATTTCTTTCTCTCAGTAAGTTTTTATGTTTTCAATATAGAAGTTTAATGTTTTTAGTAAAATTTTCCCTAAATAGTTTTATGCTACTTAAATAGCATCTTTGGAATTCCTTTTTTTTTTAATTGTTTAGTGCTAGTGTATAGGAAGACAATCTTAGTATATTAATCTTCTATCTGGCAAGCTTGCTAAATTGACTTGCTAGTGTTAATAGGTTTTATTATTGTCTTGGTAGAGTGCTTGGGATTTTTTACATATACAATCATGCCATTTGTGAATAAAGACCATTTACTTCTTGTCTAATCCATGTACTTTTAAATTTTTTCTCTTGCCTTATTCTCCGGACTAAGACCTCCAGCACAATATTGAGTGTAAGTGCTAAGAATAGACATCCTTTCCTTGTTCCCAATTTTAGCCTTTGATCATTAAGTATAATTAAAGCTGTATGTTTTCTGCTGGTGTGTTTACTGTTGATGAGCACTATTTTTAATGCTTTTCTTCCAGTCATGGAATGGGTTAGTATAAATATTTTCATACATTAATTTAAATTTGCGACTAACTTCTCACCTTGTCCATTACAAGTCACCCTTAACAGAACTGGCTCTACCTATGAAGAAAAAAATCCATAATGTGGCACTGCTGGGATTCAGAAGCAGTGGCCTCAAAGATCTAGTGAATACAAGGTATTTCAAAGTAGCAAATAAGGACAGGGTCAGAACTAAAATTACAGAGTACTTCCTCTCAGACCCCATATGAGGCCTTTTATGTGTGTCATCTCCACTTCTTTTCTTATCTGTGCAGAGTCAGAACTTTATTTATTTATTTATTTATTTATTTATTTATTTATTTCTATTAATCCTCACCCAAGGATATTTTTTCCATTCATTTTTAGAGAAAGTGGAAGGGGGGGAGGAGAACGAGACAGAAACATAAACATGAGAGAGACGCATCAATTGGTTGCCTCCTTCTCTTGCCCGGACCGGGCCTGGGGATTGAACTTGCAACCCAGGCACATGCCCTTGACCGGGAATCAAGCCTGAGACTCTTTGGTGTGTGGGGCAATGCTCTAAGCACTGAGGACACCAACCAGGGCCAGAATCAGAACTTTTACATAATTCTACATATGATCCCCGACTTATGATGGTTCAACTTACAATTTTCAACTTTACAATGGTGTGAAAGCAATGCATGCAGTAGAAACTAAACTTTGAATATTAATTGTGATCTTTCCCAGGCTACAAAAATGCGGTATAATACTCTCTCATGATGGTGGGCATGAAGTGATTTTGCCCAACTGTAGCTCATGTAAGTGTTCTGAGCATGTTTAAGGTAGGCTGGGCTAGGCTATGAGGTAGGTATAAATGCATTTTCGACTTACAATATTTTCTATTTATGATGAGTTTATTGGAATGAAACTCCATCGTAAGTCGGGAAGCCCCTGTATTCATTCCTCCATCTTCAGCAGGGGAGAGTGACGTGCTCCAAAGCTTTTCTTTTCTTTTTTTTTTTAATTAAATCTTTATTGTTCAGATTATTACATTTGTTCCTCTTTTTTTCCCCCCATAACTTCCCTCCTCCCAGTTCCCACCCCACCCTCCGCCCTCACTCCCCACCCACTGTCCTCATCCATAGGTGCACGATTTTTATCCAGTCTCTTCCCGCATCTCCCACACCCCTTTCCCCCCCCCCCCAAGAATAGTCAGTCCATTCCCTTTCTATGTCCCTGATTCTATTTTAATCACCAGTTCATTCTGTTCATCAGATTATTTATTCACTTGATTCTTAGATTCACTTGTTGATAGATGCATATTTGTTGTTCATAATTTGTATCTTTACCTTTTTCTTCTTCTTCCTCTTAAAGGATACCTTTCAGCATTTCATATAATACTGGTTTGGTGGTGATGAACTCCTTTAGTTTTTCCTTATCTGTGAAGCTCTTTATCTGACCTTCAATTCTGAATGATAGCTTTGCTGGATAAAGTAATCTTGGTTGTAGGTTCTTGGTATTCATCACTTTGAATATTTCTTGCCACTCCCTCCTGGCCTGCAAAGTTTCTGTTGAGAAATCAGCTGACAGTCGTATGGGTATTCCCTTTAGGTAACTGAGTTTCTTTCTCTTGCTGCTTTTAGGATTTTCTCTTTGTCTTTTGCTTTTGGCATTTTAATTATGATGTGTGTTGGTGTGGTCCTCTTTGGATTCCTTTTGTTTGGGGTTCTCTGCACTTCCTGGACTTGTAACTCTATTTCTTTGACCAGGTAGGGGAAGTTTTCTGTCATTATTTCTTCAAATAGGTTTTCAATATCTTGCTTTCTCTCATCTTCTGGCACCCCTATAATTCTGATGTTGGTACGCTTGAAGCTGCCCCAGAGGCTCCTTACACTACCTTCGCATTTTCGGATTCTGTTTTCATTTTGCTTTTCTGGTTGGGTGTTTTTTGCTTCTTTGCATTTCAAATCTTTGACTTGATTCTTGCGCTCCTCTGGTATGCTATTGGGAGTCTGTATAATATTCTTTATTTCAGTCAGTGTACGCTTAATTTCTAGTTGGTTCTTTATCACAACATCGAGGGTCTCATTAGATTTCTTGCAGATCTCATTAAGTTTATCGGCAGTTTCTAGAAGATTATTGAAAGACCTTAAAAGTGTGGTTCTGAATTCTATATCCTCCATCGACATTTGTGTCCTGTTTCTTTGTCTCCACATTTTTTATGCTTTCTTGGTGCACCCCCTAGTGGTCTTTGTGCGCAGTCTTGTTGTAGTTAAGCCTTGATTGTTGTAGGTAATACTGGGGGTGATTTGACCTCTAGGCCAACTGGCTGTGAGAATCAGCTGTGTCTGCAGTGGGAGAACTTTTGTCCTCTAGGGAGGTGCTATTCTAGCCCTTGCCTGAGGCTATCCAGCAAATGGCTCTGTGCAGGGCTTGGGCGGGGCGGGTCGCAGGGGATCAACAGGGCGGGCCGAGCGAGCAGTCATGGCTGCTCTCAGTCCCGTTCCCAGAGGCTCTGCCTCTCAGAGTCCCAGCAACCGCTGCAAACCTCTGAGAGAAAGCTGCCCTTGAGTTCCGACCGATGCCAGACAGTCCCACTTCTCCCGTTTGAGTCTGGGTCCCTAGAGACTCGCCCAGAACTGAGCTCAGAGCCTGATACTCCCTCCCGATTGAAAACGAACCGCACCCTCAGCCGCCAGCCTGCTCCACGAGCACCTCCACACCTTTGTGTTTTCCGCACTGCGCTTCCTCTGAGTCTCGGTATGCTGTTCTCTTTCCTTCTAGTTGAAGAATTTCCCCTCAGCCAGCCTTCCTGTGGTTCTGGGCGATGTCTGTTCCGTCTTTTAGTTGTATTTTTGAAGTGGTTGTTCGAGGCAGCAAACTCCAGTGTTTACCTATGCCGCCATCTTGGTTCTCCCCTCCAAAGCTTTTCTGATCACACCACACAGGCTGGGCTCCTGGGCTGCCTCTCGCTGCTGCTGCAGGGACCCAAACATGATGTTGTAACTGATTCTCCAAGCAAGAGAGGAACAACTGATTTCCTCTCTTGCGGTGATTTCTGACCTGAAAAATGTTTCATTTGTTATCACCATATATTAAGAATTTGTAGTCTCCAGAACGTTCTAATATATAGCCTGTGTATAGAGTCTATTCAGAAGACTCCCCTCCTAAACTAGATGATATATTTCCATTGTATTTCCAAGGGATGCACTTAGGGTCTTTCTGCCCAACCCAATTTTCAGATGAGGAACAGAGGTTTTGGGAGACCACATGGCCTGCCCAGGCTTACACAGCCAGTTACTGACCAATCCTGGACTGGAACTCAGTGTTCTAAAAACTCATGTGACTTGTCATTTTTACCAGGACTAGCATAACTATTAAACCCACTTACGTCATCATTAACCAGTCTATCACAGTTTTTCACTGACCAAACTCAAATGTTTTCATTCCAAATATGTTGACACCTAATCTAGTTACTCATATATTAAATTACATTTTTAGGCACACCCCTCTTGCCTTAAAAAGGACAAAAGATGAAAAAGGTACCATGACAAATTTTTGGAGAAAGTTGAAAGGTGTTCATATAGAACAATAGATGTTTTTTGCAAGTTATTGTAACATATTGAACACATAGGCTACACAGAATGTATATTGTAACATATTGAACACAAAGGCTACACAGAATGTAATCAAATTTTCTTCTCTCTGTACATACCAGGTGAGTGGTTATTCAGACTGGATGGGTGCTCTAACAAGATACAACAGTCTCTCATTCAGACTTTTTATCATTTAACTCTCAAAATTCCATTTTTTTAAAGAGTCACAACGTCTAATCTTTATGTATAATTCAGTCAGTTAGGAAAAAAGAAGAAAGCACACTTTTTCATTTGAGAGAGACATTGTTTGGGGATAAAAAATAATAATAATAAAAAGAAGAAGAAAAGACAACACAAAGAAACAGAAATTGAGAAGCGCTCCCAGGAGTTCAGATTCCGACTGCAGTTAATAGGGCATTTACTGCCACCAAGTGGTTTGCTAAATCCACTTAATTCTGTAACTGCTGTTTCTTACATTCTCCCCAAACACCAATACTTTTTCAAAGCATCTGTTTTCAGTTTAAATGAAAATACCATGAAACCTTAGACAGGGAATGCTGGAAACTCATCCTAAATGGACACACTAACAAGTCCTTAATTGCTGGGTGGGAAAGTGTGGTAAATCTTTATTTGCTTTTTCTAAACTTCTTTTATTGAAACAGACAAAAAACTGGGGTGGCAAAAATGCTTTTACTCAACACATGG